TAAATAAATATTATTAATTATGAATATATTATTCTTACATTAACATTTGTTAGAAAGAAATTATTTTATTATTACAAATTATTTTATTTATTACATAATATATTAATATTTTATATATTATATTACATTTACTATACAATATGTTATTATAATAATATTATTATATTGTTATGTTATTATTAAATATGTTACTATTATATAATATTTAATAATTATTACTTTATTAAAATTTATTTATTAAAAATTTAATAATATTATAGCGACTATACTATTGTATAGTATATTATTATATCATTATTATATTATTATTTATTATCAATAACTTTTTTATTATTTTATTTATATTTTATTATTATATAATACATTATTAACATATTAAATATTTATATTTAATATGTTATTATATTATTATATAAGATATTTTATTTATTATATTTTTATATTATTTAATATATTACTAATATATTAAATTAACTATAATATAGTATATTGTAATATAATATAATAAGCATGTTGATAATAACTCTATATTAATTACATTTAATATATTATATTAGATATTATATTAACACATTCTCAAACTCAAAACCAAAACACCAATATTAAAACACCTAAAAGGTGTTTCGAAATAAGTGTTGTGTTTTTGGTTTGAGGATGATTTAGCTCAAAAAACATCATGGTTTCCAAACGCATGACGTTTTGTTTTTGGCAAAAACACCATGGAAACAAGTAAAACACCATGGTATCCAAACGGAACCTAAGTTTTCACTTCCAAGTTATTTCCTCTGCTTTCTTTTCTTCTATACGTTGGGAAGCATTAAAACCTTCAGCAAAAAGTACAAGCCCAGGTACTAAATTAAGCTTCATGGGTAGGGAGACAGAAATGGGCTTAGTGAATTTCTTAGTGGGCTTAAAATGGGCTTTTGACTAGTTGGCCCATCTGTGGCATGATATGGGTTTGCAAAATTGTGTTGGATCCAAAGATGAAAGTTTCAGCAATGCCAGTATCACTTGTTTAAAGAAGAAAAGCAGGCTATTATCCTCTAAATACTCATGTAGCAAATGTAATCTAATTATTTTTTCGTGCAGTTATAAGTCAACCGATTTACTTTAAGATGATAGCTCACTTAAAGAATAATACTTCAAGATATCATCAAATAACAAAAGAGAGAGACCCTATTCTCAATATGACTGAATTCACTGACATTAGTTATACCTTATGTACACATAACAGAGAGTCATTTTTTAACAATGGCAATGCTAATTTTTAGTCACTGATTTTAATGTTTATTTTGATTAATTTGTTCAATTTGCATTATCAATATGTTTTTTTCCCCCGGAGAGCTAAATTCCAACTAAATAGTAATCAACTCATACAGAGGGGCAATATTTTGATTAATCGTACTGATCGAACAAGTGCACCGAAACATTCATCCAAAATCATGCAAAATAAATTCTGATATCAACTCATCTCCATCTAATTTTGTAAGTTTCTATTCACATAAACTAGTCCATCTAATTCAATAATAAATAAATAAATAAATAACATCACTGGCAAGAGAGAATCTAATAATTAAATGAACTATCGCTAGCAATCATTTTCAGCATATCCATCAGGTAATCAAGGCATCAAGCTGGCTCTCTCTCATTCTATCTTCTTGTCATTCTCTTTACTAGTGTGAACACCGTGCAAAACACGGCATATTTTTTCTCGCTACAGTAATCCCGGTATTCTCTGAATTGCTACATTGTCCGGCCCGTCCATGTTGCAATGTTCCCATGTGCTACAGTAATATTTTTTCAAAAAAAAAATCTACAATGTCCAGTTTCATGGTTGACGCAGTAATAATGCTGCAGCAAATGATACCGTAGCATTTACCGTAGCATGAATAATCAATCTTGGGTTCTCCTTTTTGTATATAGGAGTAGATATGATAGTGTTAATTCCTTTGTAATTTATATAAAATAAATACATATAGAAGGTTGAACATGCTCCACTCAAGTTCTTTTCACGTACTCAGTGCAAGCTCCACTGAACCCCCCCACTTGCAACGACCATAAAATTGAGAGATGTACCTGTGTAGAGCTATATTCTAGTGCTGCGTGGAGTTATATATGGAGGAGTCCTCTTCAAAAGTTTGGTACTATGGAAAAGAGCTAGCAAGCATGCTCTCTTGATTGTGAAAGCAGTTTCAATGTTCCAAAATGTGGACAGCAATTGATCAGTTCCTAGACATGCATTTTTGCTACCTATAATTCTTCGATAATATCCTTGATTTTTTTTTAGGTGGAGAAAATTAAAGTACTCATTTTCTTTATGAAAATGAGAGCTCAAATGACAAAGGTTGTGGAATCCATCTCATTGGAGATCGTGACTTCTACTGATTGAATGGACAAACGAAGAGCTCATGCTATTGGCTTATCTGCATGGCCAATAATGGAAAAAATAGAGAAAAGAACATGTGATTTTGTCAGAGATATATAGTTGGATCAAGTTGTCATTGCTTGGAATATGGCTGGTCATATAATTTAATACTAATCGGATTAATGCTAGTCACTTCTAATGCTTTTCTGCCAATTTAAGCTGTATGTTTCCATTCATTTTTAAGGGGAAAAATTGCAAAATAGACCTTTTTTGCTAATTATTTAGCAAAATAGACCGTTTTGCTAAATAATTAGCAAAATAGACCTCTTTTTGGCCAACAGGCCAAAAAGAGGTCTATTTTGCAAAACAGCTCAGAAAACATACGGGACTAGTAGTCCCGTATGTTTTAATCACGGATTAGTGAAATTTTCTACTCAGAAAACATACGGGACTACTAGTCCCGTATGTTTTCTGAGTCACTAATCCGTGATTAGTTGGCTCTAAACATACGGGACTAGTAGTCCCGTATGTTTTCTGAGCCTTGTTTTTTTAAAATCGACCTTTTTTTTTTCAAAAGAGGTCTATTTTGCTAATTATTTTTTAAAGTGGTCTATTTCGCTATATATTTCATAAAAATTGTCTATTTTGCAAATTTTCCCTTCAAGCAATACAACTAAGTCAAGTCGTCAAAAGTTAATATTTTCAAGAGTAAAAGACGAATGGAATATAAGAACCCAATACAAATCGTCTGATACCCCACGTACATACGAATAATTTTGTTATATTAAATGATCAAGGCACTTTATGTCACGCCACCGGAATTCTTCATGTTAATTGGCATAAAGCAATTAAAATTTAGGTATGAATGTCTGTCTTGAATTCTAGGAATCAAATGATTCATTTGATTGCAGAAAGAAAATCTAGAAGGAGAAAAAAAAAGGGTGTTGCAGAGACCTACGGAGTTAGGGCGTTTCTACAGGGACCCAAATTGGGAACCCAAGTGGGAAGACATGTGAGTTGTCCCCCTCTGATTGAATGATATACTATTTATAAACAATACATCATCCAACCGGAGGGGGACAACTCATCTGTCCCCCTCTTAGATCTCCTATTTAGGGTCC